CCGATGGAGACATGGAAACGCTGCTGCTTTGCAGCTGCGTTACCCTGCTTCCTCGGGCTTGGACCCCTAATAAAATAAAAAAATAGATGATCAAATAATATACTGGCCAATTTTTAACAATACAATGCCAAAACCCAATAATTATGAGGGTAAATATTGTTCAAGTGGAAAAAAAAAACKTTACAAAAGATATGTTTAGATGTTTCATTTTTGTTGTTTTTATTTCATTTCTTCCGAAAACACTGCTTTAATTTGTTACTAAAACCTACAGTTTTTTTTTGTTGGCTGACCAAATAATTTCAGTTATGTTATGAAAAGGTTTGTCTACACGCAAAACAGCATTAATACATCATTTTTACTTGTACATCTTCATCATTTGTTTCATCTCACCTCAGCACTGTTTTGGAAAGTCTGAACATTAAATTTTTAGTTTAACATAATGTTATCTATTTGCTTCTAGACATTTACTGGTTTGTTTCACACAACAACTATTTTTGCTCTCAGGGAAATTACTATTTTTAACTAATGTTTTATATATATATTTTAAATTTGTGAAGTGACAAACACAGATTTTGTTACTTGTTCGCAGTGTGTAGCTGATCAGTGTGTGTGTGTGTGTGTGCATAACAGATGTTGGTGTTGGTGCAGGTTGCTGGAGGAGCTGCTGCAGAAGGAGAAGGAGTACCAGCAGGTCCTGAAGGCCACGCTGCAGCAGAGGACACACGATCTGGAGCTGGTCAGACTCAGACACAGACCACCAGGTGAATATCCAGACTCACAGATTAGACAAACTGTTGTTTTGCCTGTGCTGGTCACTCAAACCATCCAAATGACCTGKCTTATCTGATAATTGTAACTCAACCAGAAGTCTTTGTGGGAACAGGAATTATTGTGTTAATGATGTTTGTTTATTTTTTATTGCCAGTTAAAGCTTGCTTAAGTCCATAAACTAATAAAGACTGTTTTTACTCATATAACTGATTCTTGTAAATGGAAATGTACAGTGAGCTGAATGAATTTCAGGCTGGGGAGAGAAATAAACTCAGTGCCTCACTTTTCAGACTTTTCACCTCCCTCCATTCTTCACATCCCTGCGGACCACGACAAACTGCTCGCTGATTGGCTGAAAGAGCAGGGAGCAGGCCCAGATACGATAGACAAGGTTGAGTATCCGTAAATTACACGGATTTTCATCTCCCAACCCACTCCGCCRCARCATTATGCCYCAAAATCAATGTTTTTCTTGAGTTGAGAGAGTGCATCTTTGGCTGTCATGTCCCACTGGTATCCCCCACCCCCAAACATGAGAATGAGAATACTATGGATTTATATATATTTTAGAATGATTCTTGAAAGTCAGTGTACAGGTGAACGTGTCATTAACATAGGATTGATGTGTATGTTAATGAGACTTCTAGAATCAATTGGAGGCACACCTAAAACTAAGGTTTGGAGRCAACTTGATTCAAGATGGCCACAATATTTAATCAACATTAACATACACAAAAATGACTCATGACTATTTCTTTAATTTTTTAGCCAATCAACAGTTATCTCTGTGCTCCAGCAAGAAGCCCACTTCTAAATAAACATTTTATTTTGTTTTAATTTTCAGTTTGTGATGGAGGAATACACACTGACTGACATTCTGAATGAAGTTACTAAGGATGACCTCCGTGCTCTAAATTTACGGTACCCACAAATCTTTTTTTTGTCCAAATAAATCCACATAAAAACAAATCCCAACCCTGATAGAAGACAACAAAAACCTAAACTATATATATAACTTGCTTTA